CGGAAAGCCTGCCCGCCGATAGTGGGGCGAGCAAGGCGGGGGACATGAAGCAGGCCGGAGCCCGCTGTGTGGAGGCAGCGAACAGGGTGGTAGGGGTTAGGAGGTCGGAGAGGTAGGGGGGAGCAAGACCATGGAGGGCTTTGAAGGTGAAGAACAGGATCTTGAACTGTATCCTCTGTGTGATGGGAAGCCAGTGGAGTTGGGCAAGGATGGGGGTGATAGGGTCACAGAGCCTAGCGCGGGTGAGGACATCGCCTGCAGAGTTCTGGAACCTCCTGTTGCGAGAATTTAACTGTACAGATCAGAAGGTTGTTAGTTCAAAGTCCCCGGTCTGTGACGAGTTAGTTGTTCAACCAGGGCAAGCGGTTGAGGCTACAATTGGCCTCTGTCTCTCTGGGTTAGGGAGAGTGGAGCGGGGGGAATAGACAGGAATCCTGCTTCTGAACAAGAACAAGATTGCACTTGATTATGATGTAACGCAATCAAGTCACCTGCCAATGCTCACATATCAAAGAAAAGAAAAATGCTTCTCTCACATATTGGTTCACTTGTGGTCACCACAGTATTGCTGTCCTCGTTTCCAGCCGCAAACTCCACTTGGAAATAATCCGGGATGACATGAATTTTGGAATTGCTTTTAGGCCAGCTGCCTGCCAATGAACTCAAACTCCTTCGTCCCCTAACTGAAGCTTGCACTGAGGCAGAAAAGGCCACTGAAATTCAGTGATAGGACAGAGTTAGTGTAAAAAGTTATCTAAGTTTACAGTTTCATGGCCTCTGTGTGGGTATTGTATGGCGTATGGAGACAACTAGACCCTTAGTTTGGTTGCTGGAGATCCATGTGGTTTCTGGTTTGAATACTGGGAGGTGGCGATGCTTCTCTCTTAATCCTTCCTAACACACTGGTGTTATTGACAACCAGATGCTGGACTGCAGCATTTCTAGGCCTTGTTGGATCCTTTCTCTTGGTGATATCACCCACCAGTGGCTATTTCCCAGTATAGCAGCTATGCCACAGTCTAACTCCTAGACTTTCTAGACTCATCAATTGATTTTCACACAGAGTAAAATACTGTAATACTCCCATGAAATCATCTTTTGTGTATTCTCCTCCCGCAATGACCGTCTCTTCCAGTGATACCTCGCAATTCATTCCATCCATCGCATGTGGTTGTGGGAAAGTTGGAATTAAATAACCTCCCACGAAGTGACAAGACATTCCGCAGCCAATCATTACCCATGTTACTTATTCACATCGGCAGAAAGCACACGCTCCTGGTAATCAAACACTTGCTATTCCGTCGCCCATCTGCTACTTGTTTAACATGAGGGCAACTATAAATGGCTGCTTACTCTCACGCAGTAAAACGTTAATGTCCGTGAGGGTGAGAGGGAAAGGGGTTAGTCATTGCTGTACAAAGTGGAGCCAATGAGATATTATTTATTTGGAACACTGAGACCAAAAATTCAAAGAATGCAGTTGTACATATATAGGATGAAAGCCAGCAAACAGAATACAACCAGACATTGAGACTGGTGTCAATAAACTGCCCTTAAATTAGTCTTGTCTGAGAATGGTCGAGTAGCAAACATCATAGTTAAAGCATAGGAATAGAAGTAAACCATACAATGAAACCCATTGAGGATGTTTTACCATTCATCAGATTATGGTAGATTTTTTAAGACCATTTTCCTACCTTTTTTCCATATCCCCAGGGACTTATTTATCTCCCACCCAACCATGTTTTTAGCAACTTTTTTGCGAGAAGAAAGGTATTTTACCGGGCATGGCACGAGAGAACGTCAACTGGAGACAATTGTGCCTCCACACATCAGGCACTTGCAGCATCAGCATCCATGGACACACCCTCCACCTCACTAAACAAGTCAGGAACCTAAGCCTCTCAACTGTGCTTTCTTCCTCACATCAGTGCCATGACCCACTTTGCCTTCCCCCTCCTCCGCAACATTGCCCGACTCCGCCACTGCCTCACCCCTCAGGTTGCCAAAACCCTCATACCCTCATGCCTTCACTACATCCAGGCTGGACTATGCCAATGCCCAGCTTGTCAGCCTTCCCAACTCTCGCCTCCACAAGCTGCAGATCATCTAGACGGCTACAGCTCATGTCTTCTCCCGCACCAGGCTTCGTGACCCCATCACACCCACCCTTGCCCGGCTCCACTGCCTCGCCATCCCTCAGAGGGTCAAGTTTAATATCCTCTTCCTCACCTTCAAAGCTCTCCATGACCTTGCCCCCTTCTACCTCCCCGATGTGCTAAACCCTTATCAACCTGTCCACTCCATCTGCTCAGCAGGCTCCGACCTGCTCCATGTCCCCCGCCTGGCCCAACATCAGTGGGTAGGCCTTCAGCCTCTCTATCCCCAACCTCTGGAACTCCATCCCACATTCCCATTGCCTCGCTCCCTCCCTCGTCTCCTTCAAGGCACGCCTCAAGAGCCTCCTCTTCGACCGTGGCTTCAGCCACCCTCCAACCCT